TTGACTTGTATTAATGCATCATTATTTTGACAATAAGAAAAGAATATAAAAAATAAAAAGTTGCACTAACTTGGCTGGAACAGTTCACCCAAGAAAACTGCACTTGGGAACTTTATGACGACGTTTCGGTTCCTCCTGGATTTATAAGTGGTCCAGCAAGAACTGAAACGTAGCTTAAGGTTCCTCTCATAAGTGTGGGTGTCTGGTGAAACTTTTCTCCCTTTTTGTGGCTATGTTACCTTACCTTTGCCCCTCAAGGAAGGTTCCTTGATGTTGGTGAGGGGCTCTTGATTTGGGGAATTGGGTCTGTGCTCCGGTTCCCCGAATTAAGCCTGAATGCCTTCCACATCCCCTCCCCCAGGCGCTGTATAATCCTCCGGGTTTAGCGCTTCCCCCTTGATTATAATAATAATACCTTACCTTTGATGAGTTTCGAGAGCCTTACTACTCCCGGAGCCCGGCCACGGGTCAAGCTCGCATTCATGAGGTGCTCTTTACGTTTATTCTTACGATCATATAAACAGACTAACACTGCAGTAGGTCTACTGGCCTATAGTAAGCAGACACCAGGCAAAATCAGGTTTTTTTTGGGGGGGGGGGCTATGCATTGTGTTTAGTGCCTTGCCAGTCTTACCTTCAAGGTAGAAGTGACCCATTCCCTTCCCTCCATCTCTTTTGCCTCGTTCACATTCCGGGGAGCGTCACCCCCGCGGCCTGGTCTCACCACAGAATTACTTGATAAGTTGCACATGTGTCTTACTCATCAACTTGTCGGTATTGTGTACCATTTATAATATGATACGGGTCTTATGGAGAGAGAGAGTAATGTTAGAGTATGAGACGAGGCGAGGGTAACAGGAGAGAGAGTGTGTCTCAGTAACAAGCTATTATTGTCACGCCAGCAGTAACTACCATCAACCACATCGTATTTCACCCCACATTTTGACACAAAGCAAAGGATCAACAAAGAGCTCATTTAGATTGTGGTTGCCGGCTTCCACAGCCAGTGAGGCCCCGCGCTCACTCGCACAAGCATGTACTCGTATGTACTCGTATGCACTCGCATGCACTTATATGTACGTAAGCGCACTCATATGCATGAAAACCTGAATGAGATAGTTGAGGAAAGAATGCTAAGGATTTTTAACATGGAAGAGGTAAAAATGGCACAGGACAAGCGCTGAATTCACCGTTGGGGCTATGCATTGCACGGAGAAAGAGAAGGCAATTAGGATCGATCCCATGATACTGGGGGTTCGTATTTGAACTGGTATTTGAACCGCAATGAAAGAAAAAATGAATGAAAGGAACTTTCCTGACGCATCAGTCACGTCTTGGAAAAAAAGTGTTTGGTGACGATGTGACTGGTACGCTACGAATTTGTTTGGCATTTATTTTCATTCATTGTAGTTAAACTCCATAATGTATCGTTTTGTGTCTCGTGCATTCGTTATACACGCACAGTACCGACCAGCGAAGAGGCGGGGCCGGGAGCTGTGAATCGACCCCTGCAACCACAAATAGGTAAGCACACACACACACACACACACACATACATATGCCGGCATACATTGGCATAGTGGCCGGGTGTGGGGAGGGGAGAGAGAGAGAGAGGGAGTGGACACAGGTAAGCGAGGCCGTCCTGCAGATTATTACATGGGGGAGATTTAACGGTGTCTTCCCCCTCTCCTCCCTCATTTTTCCTCCTTCCATCCACAATCCCTCCTTTCCTCCCTCCCCTCTAAACTTCCCTCCTTCCCTTCACATGATCTCACATATATTAATCAATGTTGTACTGCGAGGTGCAGAGTCAACAGGATGCTTGGCTTCATAATAAGAAATTTCGAGTACAAAATATCCGAAATAATATTAATACTGTACAATTTCTCCTGTTAGACCCCATCTTAAATTATGCCGCCCAGTTCTGGTCCCATAATTATATAAAAGTCAGACGAACTTGAGAAGGTTCGGGGTAGGGTTCTGAGAAGAGCACTGAGAGTATCATTAAGGAACCAGATATATAAATGCACTGCACACCGTCTCTCCTCTCTCAGGGAGAAAAAGAAGGCTAAGATAACAGAGGGGACCTTATACAAACCTTCAAGATATTAAATTCCATTTTGTTTCGTGGCACTAGGATTAACACGAATGTGGCAAGAGCCTCTTTTCAGAGTTTTAGGACACTGCAACAGTCTCCCCCACGGAAGGTGTCGACGTAAAGTTAATTCAGTCATCGGAACTCGCTGGACGTGAACTTTACAGACACAGTATTCGACTAATCAAATGCTTCTCACATGCAGTTGTCACCTGTGTTATTGTGGTGTTTGTTGCGACGCTGCTGTGCATATTCGGTTGTTTGCGTTCACGTGTGACACAGTATCTAGGAGTAGAACTAGAAAGAGAACTTGTAGTATCTAGGAGTAGACCTATACCACAGCCTTCAATCAACTTTCCCCCCCCCCCTCTATCTCTCTCTCTCCCCTGTAATTTCTATGGCGATATTCCAGTACCGTGTGGTATGGTTTTGCCAGTAGTGACTGGAAAGAATGGAGAGTAAGGAGAGAGCCTTCTGCTTTACTGTCATTTCCTCATCCATGTACATTGTATTTGCTAGTCCTGAATTGTGATTAGTGATGATAACCGTTGTTATTGATCATTAGTATTCATAAAAAAATCCTCATAGGCTGGGTTTGTTCAGTAGCCGCCCATCACCAGACCATAGCCTCCCCTCGGCATCCCCTCCCTCTCATGCACTGTCTCCCCCTCCCTCATGCACTCTCTCCCCCTCCCTCTCATGCACTGTCTCCCCCTCCCTCTCATGCACTGTCTCCCCCTCCCTCTCATGCACTGTCTCCCCCTCCCTCCTCATGCCACTCCCTTCCCCTCCCTCCGTATAACCCAAGGGTATCAACTACTTTTAAGATAATTACAAAGATATAAACGCTTCTCCAGCTCTCTTACTCTCCTTCCTCCGCCCCCGTTGCTCTTCCTTTACTTCTTTTCCTTACTCTTATTCCTCCACATCTAGATTATTCTTTATTCCTCCACCTTTTATATCATCCTCCACCTCCTACATCATCTTTCACCTGTTCCTCCATATCTCTTCTATTCCTCCACAACTCATCTCTTGCTCCTCCACATCTTCCCTCCTTTCCAGGAAATAGATGAGGAAAATATTGTAAAAATTATTTGACTGGTTGAAGGGAGGGGGTTAAATGAGGTTTTGCACGCAGGGGGCTTTGACATCCAACAGGCGTGTGTGAGTGTTAGATAAGGGTGAGTGAAGGCAAATGGGTTTTTTACGACTTGACGTGCAGTTGGAGTGTGAGCAAGGAAACATTTATGAAGGGATTCAGGGAAACCGATTAGCCGAATTTGAGTCCTGGAGGTGGGAAGTACAGTACGGGCACTCTGAGGGAGTGGAATGCTGCGGTTCGGAGGGTCATCTGAATTGTGATGTCAGCACGCTTCCGGCAAAACAGTGAGTGAATGAATGATGGTGAAAGATTTTTTTTCTGGCCACCCTAGGCCTAGTCACGGACCGGGCCGCGGGGGCATTAACCCCCGAAACCCCCTTCAGGTATACCTCGGTGGGAAACGGCAGGTGTGTTAAAAATTATGATAATAATAATAATTTTATTATTATTATTATTATTATTATTATTTACCTGAATCAGTGTATCATAGTTACTTTCATATTGTATTATTTATCTGATGGCACATGAATTCCAGGCATTACTTCTCTTTTAATTCGTGTAGAAGCGCTAAATCTGTAGGGGCTATGGAGCGCCTTGGCAACGAAAGGTACTCAGGTTAGATCCTGGGGGAGAGCAATTCCAATTCTTTGGATCACGAGAGCTGAAGCATTACCATGTGTGTGTGTATGTTGTTCCAACCCTCCCTCAGCCTCTCTTATCAGGTCACCACTGTGTCACCAGTGTCCACTGGGTCGCCACTGTCCACTGGGTCAACACTGTCCATTGGGTCACCACTGTCCACAGGACCACCACTGTCCACTGGATCACCACTGTCCACTGGGTCACCACTGTCCACTGGGTCATCACTGTCCACTGAATCACCACTGTCCACTGGGCCACCTCTGTTCACGTATCACTGAGACAACAGAGTTGCCGCCTGTATAATAATTTTAGTACAGTAAAAAGGGTCAGACTGGAAATTGGAATTGGAGAATGGGGTCCCAGTATTAATGTGGGAGGGGTCCAGTATTGTGGGAGGGGTCCAGTATTACTGGGGAATGGGGTGCCTATGGATAACACACACACACACACACACACACACTTAAGTACTCAAATTTAATCCACTCTTCTGCTGATATATTCTTGCACTAGAGTCCTTCCAGTTCTGTGGCTCCCAAAGAGAGAGTTCTCTTGTCTTTGTTATTCTCGGCCATCTTAAAATTTGTACTAACCTTCTCCCAACTCCAGCTCAACATTACTTAGTAGTGCAGGAAATAAGGCCAGTACTTAAAAAAATATATGAAAAGACTGGAGAGATTATCCATGACTAAATCCCGCTGGTCTTTCCTTCATTAGCTCACTAGATAATGGAAACTATACATACTACAAAGCTCACACCCTCAGATTTCAACTGAAGTCTGTGAGTAGGCGTAGTGCTGTTTAATTATCATTGTTCAGAATGTGAACACTGGCTAATGTAATAGATATTTTCATCAGATAGTTAAAATATAGCCACACCTCACAATGGAAACACTTCCTTGTTAATCTGTTTTGCTTTTTGACTCAATTCTTTTGTTACTGGGAATTCTTCAACTCTTCCGCCTAAGAAAGCGTGTGTTTATATAAAAGAGTTAAAAGCAGCCGAATAGCAGCTACTATCACAACGGTTTTTCCAGACCGCCAGAGCGTCGGTTCGAAGCCCAAGAACACCATTGAATTATACTCGTTTATTAAGAATTTTCAGCATATTAACATATGTATTCCTTAAGATCAGGATGAACATTAATGTATGCGTTCCCACAGGTCGGAATGAGCTCATTGCTCGCTACATCAAGTTGAGGACGGGCAAGACGCGGACCAGAAAGCAAGTGTCCTCTCACATCCAGGTGCTGGCCAGACGCAAGCTGAGAGAGATCCAGGCCAAGCTTAAGGTGAGCACATTCTGCAACCATTCATGTACACCCTCCTCTTCCAGGTCACCTCCTCTTCCAGGTCACGATCCTCTTCCGGGTCACGATCCTCTCCTATGTAACGATCATCTAGGTAGCGATCTTCTTCCAGGTCACGATCCTAATCTTCTAGACGGCACTCCTTCCTCTAGGTCCTGCCCTCGCTCCTTTATATCACACCCTCCCTCTTTCAGGTCCCACCCTCCTCTTCTGAAAGGTAATTTTTCTGGTCCTGGACAGGTTAAAAATTTAGCCATCAAACACCTTCCTTGCCTTGGAATGTAACCCAGTGACACCAAAGGAGAAAGCAAAGTTTTGGACTTGGGTTGTTATTGATATGGATTGTCGAAAATTACCACCTTTCACTTGGTTCTGACCATATTATTTGCCTGCAGTTTACCTGTGGTCCATCTAAGGAGTCATCGTCCCCCGTGGCCTGGCCCCTGACCAGTCATCATGCTGCTTGTTAGTCTTTTAAGTTTTTCGCAATTGATCGCACGCCTCCGGCTTTACAAATCTAATCTAGATGTACATGGTGCGTTTAGCGAGAGTAGTTGGATGCAGGATGAAACTACGTATTGGCTGCAAGTGTGAAGACATTGAAGTTTCGGAATAAACTTTTATTGGTGGATCAGGGCCTGATTATCAGGCTGTTACTGCTGGCCGCATGCAAATCTTCAACGTTTCTTTGTCTTTACACAGCATTTTGTTGCAGTTAGAAATGCTTCACTACGGTCCAAATAGCAAGTGGTGGACTATGCTGATCTAACAAAGACAGTAAATCACCTAAGCTTGTCGACATACACCATGGACGAGATGCAAGGGCAAGCCTCCTTAACCCGCTGTCCCGTTCACCTAGCCGTAAAAAAATATAGTGTCTGGGTATTTGACTTTGTAGTAGGCTGCATCCTGGTCAGGATGAGATGTATGGGCAATTATGTTTAGGCCTGTTGCCTATGTTCACTTAGTAAATAAGTAACTGGGTGTCAATCAACTGTTGTGTTTCAAATGACCTGAAAACATTGATACTATAGTAAGTAGGATCATGCATCATCCACAAATATTTGACATACGATATCCACACTTTCGAGAGATAATTGCTAGTATTAATAGCTGGGCCTCCATGTTGCTAAGTAAACTGTCATTACTCTCAAGGAAGCAGAAGGCAGAAGCTGCAACCAAGAATTAATAGAATGTAACATACTTATTTCTAAAGTCAAGTTTGAAAGCTTTCACTAAGCATCTGGCCAGCTGCTTCTGCCTCAGACGGAGAGACTGATCATCTGGCACCTTGGGTGATGGACTGAATACGTTAAAATACCTTTCTACTTAGTCTTTCACCAGTGTCTCCAGGAGTGTGACTTATCTCTGTATTCGACTGATAAAACCTGCAGTGCGGACGAAACGTGTAGTTTTAAAGATACCTAGTGTTGCATATGTGTCTCACTTAACAGTATTTTATACCATTTATAATAAGTCTGGTGATGTTGATTTAGATGGGTGGTGTGGGCGTCGGGGTCTGTCAGGGTTTAGCAAGGGGAGCCCCACCTGGCCTAATCGGGAAGTTTATTCCCGTTTCTCTTATATAATTTCTGTCCATATCTGGGCTACATTTTTTCCGGACTTAGGTACGCAGGGCTTAATTAGACGTAAACCTTAGTGGCCCATAATAGCAACACCTACAACTAAGCATGACTGTGTGTTGTAACATGAATCTTCAACACCAGTGTTGTGTTGCTGCTGGTTCCTTTGACCAGTGTCGAGGGTTCTAACCCAGGAGCCTGACCTGAGCGATGTCAGTCTTCTGTGTTGATTGATCATCTGTTGGTGATAGCTTACCGCACTCTAACAACAGCAGCCTGGTTGATGAGACATCATTAACAACCCGTGTGCCCAGCTGACGTTGCTAAACATTCATTTCCTATTGTCATGAGTGTGTTGCGGAGGTGACCTTGATGGAAGGGAGCAGTGTTTCCTCTGGCTGTGTGAACTACTTCCCTCAGTACCTTACTAGTTGTGGCTGTCACACCTCACTCGCACCATGTTTTACTGATTTTACATTAATAGACGATTGTCGTACAGGTGTTTGGTATTGGTAATTAAGTAACTGCAGTAGTATCAGTGCTGGTTGTCAGTGATTAAGCAACTATTAATCATCGTACTAGTGCTGAGTGTTGGTGAGATCAGTAGGTATAATAGGAAAAATAAGCAAATAAATATTAAACTTTCTGATGAATATGACTCATAGAACAGTAGTAAGCATAGGAAAGTATAATGCTTACTACCCCAAGGCACAGTTGTGGTGCCTATAGTGTTTCCTGTCCACATAGCAAACATAGGTAAAAACACTAGCCACAACTATCATTTTCAGACATAAAAATAAGCATGAAAATCATGCTGGTAGAAGACAGAAAAAGTTCAAGAGGATATAAGCAAAGTCTTCCAGTGGACTGTAGAAAATACGTAACAGTGTTCTATGCTGACAAATTCCAGTTGCTCGGATAAGGAAAGAACGAGGAACTCAGATGGGGCTTTGTATACAAAACACCTAATAGAACGAAAGGAACAAGTGAAACATGTGTATAATAAAATCAGCTGACCTATCATTTAGAGATAAGACAAATGTTGCAAAAACCAGAAAAATGACATAATGGATAATGAGAACTTTCAGAACAAGAGAAATAATGCAGGTAATTGTGTTCTCTTACTGAGAGTACTGCTTGGTGTTGATGGCTCCATTCAAGGCAAGAGAGATATCAGCTGAAACAAATACACAGTTTACTGCTTGCATAGAACCTGAAACAGGACTTGATCCACCAGGGGTCCTGTTCTGAAAACATCCCTCAGGTATCCTTTAGGTACTACCTCTGCCAAGTGCCAAATCAGCCAAGTTGTGATGGATATATTGTCCAAGCAGGCTGCCAACAGCAATAGCCTGATTGACATGGCAAGCGTTACAAAAATTTGACCCCTGGCTGGGTTGTGGGAGTAGGAAAACTCTTAGAAGTGCTCAATTGCATATCCTGTGAGGCTTTTTGGAATATAATTCAACATATAGAAATTGTAATCCCAAGTTCACATTGTAGCCTTAATTGTTAAAATCAAATATTAATGAATTTCATGGACTTACAACTGCATCAGAATTTTTCAACCAGAGTTAATGCAGTTACTGACTACAACCTTGTTAACTTTCGGCCCACTGTTTTAGACTTTTTTTTTTTTTTTACGGAATATATGGAAGCTTATTCTGTATAAGGAGAAAGATAATTCCACATTTTTTGGAGCACAACCTTGTCAAGGGATGGGAAAGGGGGAGAGGGCCTTGATCCTGCTGGTGAAGGGTTCTAATAAAAGGAACAGAATTACCAGTCACAGGGGCATTGACCTCTGAAACCCTCTCTAGGTATACCCTTTACTCTTCTTAATCTTCAGACGCCATATGATTCTTACAGGTTTAGCGCTTCCAAGATTATACTAATGGGAACACAACCCACTAATTGGGCCCTGCTCGTATGTATGGTACAGTAAGACTGGCAATTTTGGACTTTCTTTCCCAGTGGGTGTTAAAGATTAACTTACTGTACCTTTAAAAACAGTGCAGTATATATATGTAACTTATAAGTAATGTATATACTGTAGAACTTTTATCTAGTAATTACATAATATATATGACACTGATAAAGTATTACTGTTAATGGTGATGATAACATGAGTTCATCATACGTAATTCTCTTCTGTTTCTAGCGATTTGAAATAGTGGTACATCATTGTGAGAAATTTATATAGTTAACATTTTTTAAAATACCTGTAGACATACTGTACATGTAGGTTATAGTGTTGAAAAGTAAATAAATGAGTTTGTAGTTGTTAATCACAAAGCAGGTATGGTATCCTGTGGCTCTGTTAGACTCACAATTGGATTTCTCTTTTTGCAGGATGTACCAGGGGTAAGGCCAGGGGTGAGGTTGGAGTGTTTGCTTTGTTCCTCAACTGGGTATAATGGTGTGACCCTTGCCTGTTATAACCACAGATACATTTGCCTCCTCCAATCATGTGCGCTTTACACACACTTCCCTTTTTGTATTCAATAATCTACTCTTTGAGTAAAAACTTGCCTGGTTACTCTTGCACCTTGTCTCACCAGCACTCCTCTTGTGTGGAACACCAGGCATCCAGTCCACCACTGGCTGTAGTTTTCTTTGACTTTATATATCTCTACCTTGTTTGAGAGTACAGCACATGCAAGCCAAGTGGTGAGGCAGTATACAGTATCGTTTGCTAAATTTGCACCATGGCACTTCAAATGTCCAGCTCTTTTGTAGTCTAACACCACATAGCTCTTGCTGCCTGCCTGGGAAAAGGGAAGTCTTCATTTTAATGGATGCCCTAGTTAGTATCATATTCTAGCATGGTGTCACACTCTTGACTTTCTATAGCATCACTATATTTTGACATTGTAACACCCTATTTTGGCAGTGAGGCAGTATCTAATAACTGTGTTTTGATATACCATATCTCGAGTTAATTTTATTGCATCTGAATGACGTTTATCTCGATATGAGGGTCTTCAATCATTGTCACAGTAGTAACTCATTGCCACAGTAGTACAATATATTGGTTGGTAAGATGAAATCATCTTCATTCTAGACATTAGAGCAAGGTTTCCCATATAGTGGGTAGCAACACTCTTGGGGGAATCACATTGATTATTCTTTTTGAATTCATGGGGAAGTGTTAAACCTATAGGGTTCATTCAATGCCTGGGGAGTAGGTAATTGGGTTTTATCCAAGGAAGAGAAGGGTGGCTTCAATTCCCTGGGTCAAGAGTCCTTCACCAGCATCAAGGCACCCCACTCTTGAATGGCGGGGGGTTCACTTGATGCCTCCACCTACACAATTCGTTTATCTTTAAGGTCTATAAAGGTGTATAGATTAATGGTATTATGAACACTGATAACTTGTGCCAATAAAGAAAGATTCAAATCCTGGCATTATTCATGCTTTAAGGACAGTTAAAATAGAGCCAGTAACAGGGTGATTAATGTCGAGAGTGAGCCTGCGCTTACTGTATAATTGGAGACCCTGAATTGACTAGCGTGGCTTTTTACCCCTGTAAGTGCCCTTCTAGGAAAGTGCCTTGATACTGTTAGAGGGCTTTTGATCCAAAGAATTGGAGTTGATCTTCCCTTCATTGAATTAAAGCTGATTACCATCCATTTGCTATATGATCCTTACTGGTTTAGCACTTCCTAATGAATGCAATACTGTACCCCAGTACAACAACAAACTCCAGTATAACAGACTTAAATTTATTGGATTAAATTCACTGGGTTAATTGTACTTTGAACTCCTTTATTTTTAATGGTTATTTGCAGCATAACTGTAAATTGTGTATACAGTACTATATTAGGTATACAGTAGAGTACTGTGCATATTATTTCTTTTTTTTTTTAACATTATTCTGATTTCTCAGGCAGTTCCCCATTAGTCTGTGTAAAACAGCTCATGGTCACACAAATAATGGTCATGCAACAGATAATGGCTTTATATGAAAGATAATAACAATGGATAAGGGTTACCTATAATAGATACTGGTCGCATAACAGATAATAGCCCTATATAAAAAGGTAATAACACTACAGATAATAGTCAAATACAGTATGTATATATTCATCACATAAACACTTATGGCCCCACACAACAGATACTTGTCACACACAAACAGTCATACACCAGATAACTGTCATATGTAACAGATAATGGTCACTTATAACACAATGGTCCCATATAACATAATGGTAAAATACAGTATAACATAATAGTCATAAAACAAATAATAGTCCCTCAATGGATAATGTCATACAAAACAGACATTGGTCATACAATAACAGCGGGCGAACAAAACCCTTAATCATATGAAAGAACATGTGGCATAACAAAACAGCAGTCCTGTGGTTGTATAAAAACCAAAAACATGATTCAGGTTACACCCTATGAAGCAGCAAAACTGTTGTACTGTAGACAGTAGATCCGGGATATGACCCATGAGGCGTAGTCCACAATGCAGAATCCAAAATTGAAGCCAACTCAGAATCGACTTAACAGTAAAGTAGATGTGTAAAAAATAAAGGGGATGAATGGGAGAGAACCAAAAAGTCCTATACAGTGCAGAACATAAAACAGAATCCAAAACCAGGGTTAGGTGAAATTCTACAAAATAGCTAAAACAAAAAAAGAAGCATAGGGGCACAGTTCAAGCCACAAATTGGAAAAAGCTTTGGTAGAAGGAAGGTAAAAATGACCCATTATACTGTACTAGGGAGTGGGAGGGCAATCATTCTTGATCTGAGGAAGAGGGTAGCTCTGCTTGTTGAATCAAAAGCTCTTCATCAGTGGCAAAGCACCCCCCCACCCCCCCTCCCCTTTGAAAATCACATCGTGCTGGGAAACACTACAGTTTTGAGGATACAGTATTTTATTAAAGCACTTTACTGCACAGTACTATGTCTTTGCATTAAGCTGCTGAATTATGCTGCAGTGATTAATATAGGATAACAATTTACCACAGTTTTTTTGGGATCATATCTTAGTACAGTTTTTCATTTTTATTAATAATGTAATATAAGTAAAATTTTCTAATACTGTATAGTAATTCAAAGAATATTTAGTTATGTACATAATTTTAAAAAAGAATACGTATTTTTGTACAAAACTTCCAAAGGGTTTATATAAAAGTACACCAAGAGGTGTGTATCTCTGTTTTGTTTATGTAGGATTTTATATATATATATTATATATATATATAATTTATATATTTTTATATAATATATATATTTATATATATATAAAATTTATAGTATTATATATAAAATTTATATATATATATATTATATAGAATATATATATATATATATATATATATATATATATATAAAATATATATTATTATATATTTATAATATATATATATATAATATTTTATATATATATATATATATATATATAAAATTATATTATAAAATATATATTATTTATATATATATATATTAAAATTATATTATTATATATTATAATATAAAAATATATATAATATATATATAAAATATATATATTATATATTACATTATATATATTATAAAAGTATTATAAAAATTATATATATATATTATATATTATATATATATATATTATATATATATATATATATATTTTTATATATATTTATATATATATAAAATATATATATTATAATATAATATATATATATATATTATTTATTATATATATATATATATATATATTTATATATTATTTTGCTGAGAGTTTACTTTAATCTATATTTTAGGTATTGAAGTATTCTTGACTTGTAATTTAAGGGTTACAAGTAGTGTTATTGACCTTCATGCAGTTGACAAGCTTTAAATCCAATAAACCAACCAAAATTCTCATTAGATATCCAGTACATGTGATGGTAGGTACATGGGAGCTGGGAACACAGAGGCAGCACACTTCTTACTAAAATATGTACCATCCTGCCTTAACATCAGTGTTAACCACTAAAATTCCATATAAGATACATCAAGTTTTTTACTTCTTGTACCGTGTATAAAGGATAGCGTTTTTTTTTTTTATCTAGGCAATGCAGAAGGGCAAATTTTGTTTTAGTTATTCTAACCTGTACCTGTACTTATTTCTTTGTAAGGTACTTACTGAGGACATCTCAAAATAAAAATAGCTCAAGTACTCATTGAATTTATAATTAGCTTGTGTATTGAAGGACATTTGTGTAAAGCCCTGAAGCCCATGGCATACATACTGTATTTAAATTTTTCCTTGGAATACTGCTTGACATTTGTGTTCGGTTTGGATTGATACTTTTTGTGAGTAATGACCCTATTCCTTGCCAAATATGTGCTTAGATTTACTGAGCACCTTAATGCTTTTTTGCCCACTAAAACTGGCTTCATTGTTGCAATATAGTTGCTCACTTTATTTTGAGATGACAGTGTTATTGTACAGGAATTGGCTTTTGAAGGCAATTAATTCCATTTTTAATACCAGTAGGTTTTGTACCAGAAATCTCACTTTCGTAATTAAATAAAAAAAAAAATTATTTTAATGTTACTGTAAGTTAATTGAGTTTTTCACAGATTAAGTACAATAGCAGTATTTCTAAATAATATTCAAAGTGACAGATTGCAGCTAGGTTGCCTGTGTGAAACAATGTGTCTTGTTTACTTACCTGTGTTTGTACCTTGTTGTAGGGCTGCACGTCTGATGAAAATGGCGGAATGTTGAGACTGGCAAGTATTTTTTGAATTTTTTAGTTTGCTAAATGTATTTCATACTTATAAAAGGAGGAATCAGTTTCACTTAGACGTCTAGTGGAAAGATAGTTAAATCCATGTATCATTTATATATCATTTTCTAGCAGTTGCATATGTGCGGTATTACCATATATTGTACTGTTTTTATCATTATTAATTAAAATGTACTTGAGCTATTTTTACATGTACTGTATAGTAAAATACCATATGTTTGTGGAAACTGCCTTGCATCACAAATTACACTTGGGCTTGTTTATGTGTAACATACGCATTTGGCGACGAATACTATATCCATTCCCTCACCATAAAGTTTTCAGTTATGATTATTATCTAAACCAAGTATGTAGATGCTTAGAAATATCCTTGAACAATACTGTGTTGTAATCAGTTGTTTTTGTATGGAGTGAAATGGCTATCATTGCATCCTGTGACATGGTCTTTAATTTTTTTTGTCGAGCAGTTTGAAAAGCTCACAGAAGGCCTTGTTCAAATGACCAAAAGTCATATGAGTAGTTTTTTGTATGACTAAGATTTGTGGCAGGAGAACGCTTTGTTTCTCCTGACTAACAAAATCCCACCACCTTCTTAGGAAATTGGCCTAAAAATTAAGGTTGTTGATAAGGTAGTTCTAAGAAATAAGCAATTAAGATAAATATAAAAAATCTATCTGTTAGTTTATTTGCCACTTGAGTAAATAATACAAGAATTTAGAGATAAAGATTCTCTGCAAACTAACACAGAGGTAATAGAAATACAACAGACTGTTATATCTTTCAAGTGTCTCAAACAGACTGTTATATCTTTTAAATGTCTTGAGTTTGAGACTGCTGTCTGCTAGATCACTAGAGGAGTTACAGAATCAACATTTAATTGATTATAAAAGTACTATAAATCATTAGTGAGAGAACATTTTCCTGTGATAGCTCTTCCATTGTGAGTAAGTTAAATGAGTTCATTTTTTTAAAATGTGGTTACATTATAATTGCAGCTGTTGAAATGAATTTGCAGATGTGTCTGTTACATTTCTTGGAAAGAAATTAACCTGCTGGTTGTATTCTTATCCCACTGAAAAAATGGTATTATAATGCATATAATTTTTTTTTTCAGTAGGTGCAATTAAAAATGAAATTTTCTAATTGAATAAGATTGATTCACCTAACCCATGTTAATTACTGTAATTAGAAATACCTTACTTACATTGTTCATTTGGCCAATGCTACATGGTTTTGGATTGAAACATTTTTTTTTTTTTTTTGTAAATCAAGCATGACAAGTGATGAGGGCTTTCATAGAAATGTCACATTGCTTGACTTTATTGAGTTATCGTGGCTTAATAAAATTTAAAATTATTTATGAGGTCTAAATAAAATCTTGCTAGTTCAGAACATCAGTGGTGATTATAACCCAGAAGTTATAAACTGCCATCATAACTGTAATACACTACTTTACCAACTGTAAATACATATGTATATACATATCTGGTATTTAAAAATAACTGTACCTGTAAAAATGTAATTGACCTTAGAAGGCTATAGATTTTTACAAAAAATAAACACTTCAGTCAGAATTTATACTTTGCTTATCAGTTAACTGGTATAATATTACTAATGTTTAGGTGAAACTGTTTCCCTCTGTCACTTTTAAGAAGTGAAGAACACATGTTGTGTGCACTGAAGATAAAACTTGAGTGAGAATATATATGTGTGTGTGTGTGTGGGTGGGTGTGGGTAGGTGGGTTGTGGGTGGTGGTGGTGGGGGGCAAACTATTTTTAAGGAGATTGTGAAACTGAATTCAGTGAAAGAAATGAAAATGTAAATTAAGCACATGTTGCATCAAGAATGGACAAGTTTGTAAAACAGTTAAATTTTGTATTGTGCTTGTGGCTAAGGAAAATACTGTATATCATAAGTGGGAGTATAATATAAATAATTATATAAACTTGGTTAGTATTATATTACAAAAGTTACTCTTGTATTTTCTTTTTTTTTTACTGTGCATTCTTTAAGTGCTTACTTGTGGAATTATCTTAATTTATAGTTTATATATATAGTATAGTAATCCTAGGTAGGAGGTTGGTAGACAGCAACCACCCGGGGAGGTACGTACTACTGTTCTGCCAAGTGAATGTAAAATGGAAACCTGTAATTGTTTTACATGATGGTAGGATTGCTGATGTCTTTTTTCTGTCTCATAAACACGCAAGATTTCAAGTATGTCTTGTTATTTCTACTTGCACTTAGGTCACACTACACATGCATGTACAAGCATATATACAGTGGACCCCCACAAATTCGCGGTTCTGAATTCGCGGCTTCAGTAATTCGCAGATTTTTCCTTAGAACCTAACTGATAATTATTCGCGGAGATCCTGGAAATTCACAGAATTTTGGGGGGGCTTTTTTTTAAGGCAATATATAGTTTTTTATGTTTTAACACAATGTTAAGAAAAATATAATTTAATAATTTTGTAACATAAATATTAATGTAAATTCAGCAAAATTTCCTTATAAAATATAATACTATATAAACTTTTTAGTGCTGTAGAGAATGGTATCATTCATTATTGGTGAGTATCCATACAATTATCTTTACTTTTACTAAATTAAATTATTACTGTATATTTACTGTACGTATACCAAAGAAAACATGGTTGCATAAATTACAGTATATACCTGAGAAAATGGGCTTGCATGAATTATGGTAGCTACACTGAGAGTAAAAGGTAGATGGGATACAAGGAGAATAGAAGCATCAGGGAAGAGAGAGGTGAAGGTTTATAAACTAAAAGAGGAGGCAGTTAGGGAAAGATATAAACAGCTATTGGAGGATAGATGGGCTAATGAGAGCATAGGCAATGGGGTCGAAGAGGTATGGGGTAGGTTTAAAAATGTAGTGTTAGAGTGTTCAGCAGAAGTTTGTGGTTACAGGAAAGTGGGTGCGGGAGGGAAGAGGAGCAATTGGTGGAATGATGATGTAAAGAGAGTAGTAAGGGAGAAAAAGTTAGCATATGAGAAGTTTTTACAAAGTAGAAGTGATGCAAGGAGGGAAGAGTATATGGAGAAAAAGAGAGAGGTTAAGAGAGTGGTGAAGCAATGTAAAAAGAGAGCAAATGAGAGAGTGGGTGAGATGTTATCAACAAATTTTGTTGAAAATAAGAAAAAGTTTTGGAGTGAGATTAACAAGTTAAGGAAGCCTAGAGAACAAATGGATTTGTCAGTTAAAAATAGGAGAGGAGAGTTATTAAATGGAGAGTTAGAGATATTGGGAAGATGGAGGGAATATTTTGAGGAATTGTTAAATGTCGATGAAGATAGGGAAGCTGTGATTTCGTGTATAGGGCAAGGAGGAATAACATCTTGTAGGAGTGAGGAAGAGCCAGTTGTGAGTGTGGGGGAAGTTCGTGAGGCAGTAGGTAAAATGAAAGGGGGTAAGGCAGCTGGGATTGATGGGATAAAGATAGAAATGTTAAAAGCAGGTGGGGATTTAGTTTTGGAGTGGTTGGTGCAATTATTTAATAAATGTATGGAAGAGGGTAAGGTACCTAGGGATTGGCAGAGAGCATGCATAGTTCCTTTGTATAAAGGCAAAGGGGACAAAAGAGAGTGCAAAAATTATAGGGGGATAAGTCTGTTGAGTATACCTGGTAAAGTGTATGGTAGAGTTATTATTGAAAGAATTAAGAGTAAGACTGAGAATAGGATAGCAGATGAACAAGGAGGCTTTAGGAAAGGTAGGGGATGTGTGGACCAGGTGTTTACAGTGAAACATAAAAGTGAACAGTATTTAGATAAGGGCTAAAGAGGTCTTTGTGCATTTATGGATTTGGAAAAGGCGTTAGACAGGGTGGATAGGGGGCAATGTGGCAGATGTTGCAGGTGTATGGTGTAGGAGGTAGGTTACTGACAGCAGTGAAGAGTTTTTATGAGGATAGTGAGGCTCAAGTTAGAGTATGTAGGAAAGAGGGAAATTATTTCCAGTAAAAGTAGGCCTTAGACAAGGATGTGTGATGTCACCGTGGTTGTTTAATATATTTATAGATGGGGTTGTAAGAGAAGTAAATGCGAGGGTCTTGGCAAGAGGTGTGGAGTTAAAAGATAAAGAATCACACATAAAGTGGGGAAATTGTCACAGTTGCTCTTTGCTGATGACACTGTGCTCTTGGGAGATTCTGAAGAGAAGTTGCAGAGATTGGTGGATGAATTTGGTAGGGTGTGCAAAAGAAAGAAAATTAAAAGTGAATACAGGAAAGAGTAAGGTTATGAGGATAACAAAAAGATTAGGTGATGAAAGATTGGATATCAGATTGGAGGGAGAGAGTATGGAGGAGGTGAATGTATTCAGATATTTGGGAGTGGACGTGTCAGCGGATGGGTCTATGAAAGATGAGGTGACTCATAGAATTGATGAGGGGAAAAGGGTGAGCGGTGCACTTAGGAGTCTGTGGAGGACAAAGAACTTTGTCCTTGGAGGCAAAGAGGGGAATGTATGAGAGTATAGTTTTACCAACGCTCTTATATGGGTGTGAAGCATGGGTGATGAATGTTGCAGCGAGGAGAAGGCTGGAGGCAGTGGAGATGTCATGTCTGAGGGCAATGTGTGGTGTGAATATAATGCAGAGAATTCGTAGTTTGGAAGTTAGGAGGAGGTGCGGGATTACAAAACTGTTGTCCAGAGGGCTGAAGAAGGGTTGTTGAGGTGGTTCGGACATGTAGAGAGAATGGAGCGAAACAGAGTGACTTCAAGAGTGTATCAGTCTGTAGTGGAAGGAAGGAGGGGTAGGGGTCGGCCTAGGAAAGGTTGGAGGGAGGGGGTAAAGGAGGTTTTGTGTGCGAGGGGCTTGGACTTCCAGCAGGCATGCGTGAGCGTGTTTGATAGGAGTGAATGGAGACAAATGGTTTTTAATACTTAACGTGCTGTTGGAGTGTGAGCAAAGTAACATTTATGAAGGGGTTCAGGGAAACCGGCAGGCCGGACTTGAGTCCTGGAGATGGGAAGTACAGTGCCTGCACTCTGAAGGAGGGGTGTTAATGTTGCAATTTAAAAACTGTAGTGTAAAGCACCCTTCTGGCAAGACAGTGATGGAGTGAATGATGGTGAAAGTTTTTCTTTTTCGGGTGGGAATCGGCCAGTGTGATAAAAAAAAAAAATGGGGGTAACCGGTATTTTACATTGTAGCACTGTGGGAGTCAGCAGTACAGTACTGTATATGGGTTTATCTTTACTTTTTTTTTTTTTTTAGGTTGATGTATCAAGCTGAGTTTGAAATTAAAGTGTTTTGGGGGCATATTTAGGGGTTTAAACTATAAAAATAGGCATTTATAGGCTTTTTTTTAACCACTTTCCAAATTCATGGGTGGTTTTGGAACGTAACCCCTACAAATTTGGGAGGACTACTATATACACACCCCTCTGGGTTTTCTTCTATTTTCTTACTGGTTCTTGTTCTAGTTTATTTCCTCTTATTTCCTTGTGGAGGTGGACCAGAATTCTTCCTCCGTAAACCATACATGTCATAAGAGGCAACTAAAATGCCTGGAGCAAGGGGCTAGTAACCCCTTCTGTACACATTACCAAAGTTAAAAGAGAAACTTTCGCTTTTCTTTTTGGGCCACCCAGCTTCAGTGGGATGTGGCCAGTTTGTTGAAAGAAGATACTTATATAGTAATATAATCATTGGGAAGCATTAAACTTGTAAGAGTCATATAGCACCAGGGAATTGGGGAAGGGGGTAGGGCAATTAGATTCAGTCCAAGGTTGGGTAGGATTGGTCTAAGTCCTTGAAACAACAACCTCTTATATTGAAGAGTAGTTAAGTTTTTTAAACAGTGTACTATATTGACACTACTTTATACTACAGTTTAATATCACGGATACCTTGAGAAGCTAACTTGAGATGATTTCTGGGGTTATTGCTCCTGCACTCCAGTCCAGTCCTAGACCAGGCCCCTCTGGGCATGTATAATATAAACTTTCATGACTACACATATGATGGGGTTTGTGTTGTGTCCTGAGCTCTACAAACCCATTTACAACATTGATGTGCTGTAGTGAATGAAAATTATGCTAATGAACTTACTAAGTATAGCACAACACTTGAAAACATTTTGTTTGAATACAGTACAGTATTTGCAGTGATTGTAATTGCAGATCAGCATTTGTCAGTCATAGTTGGTTTTATAGTGCCAGTATTATAATTGCAGAAAATCATGAGTCTGGGACCTACTGTATTGTCTCTCTATGTAGTATTATTTGGCATTTTTTAACTTTTGTATCCAAACTCATACATAAGTCATTGTCAAGAGAAATACCATTCAGGAACATTCCTTTATGTGCAGAGAGTTTTTGAAATATTGTCTATAAGAACAGTGTTGTGTAAATGGATGATAAAAGCAGTGGAAGTGTACATGCCTGAACATGATAGTAGAATGATGAGAGGGAGGCAGTGAAGGTATGTATTAGTTATGTGAAACTTTTGAGTTGTGAAGTCATTATGGAAGGCCAAGTGGAAGTCTGAATGCAATATTTATAATCTCCCTTCTCCTACATTGTTTAGCCTTCTTTCCCAGGCGAGTGCTTCCCCAAACAATGAAAATTGGAACTGGAGTATTGAAGATGACAAACTGTTGAAAAGAGTACAGAATAGATAATTTATAAATATGTAACTATTTACAGGATTCTGCCACAAAGGAGAAGGCACTTCACACAATGTCCTCCATGTCATCCGCGCAGATTGTCTCTGCGACAGCGATGCACAGCAAAACATCACTAGGTCTACCCCCACCACCAGTCTCATATGCTAGTGCTTTCTGGCAGGGAGGATTACAGGCTGGAACAAGTCAGGAGTAAGTGTTATTCATAATTATAATAAAAAATTAGAACTTTACATGTGCATAGACCATAGTACTGTAGTTCACCTGATTGTCAAGATGGCAGGAAAGATGAGAAGCACAGGTCATCTTTAAAGACAAATGAGTATCCTAATGTATAAAGAAAATACTATACTTCAATAAATGTGTCATTTATAATGACAGTACCTGTTTGCTTATACCTTTGAAGACATACTGTTTAAATATACATATATACGTATTGCTTTAGTATATTTTTCCTTTGCTAAGGTTTCCTATGTTTTTCAGTGTTAAGCCTTTTGCTCAGTCTCCTTTTGGTATGGGTGGAGAGACCAAACCCCCAGTAGGAGGTATGGGTGGCTTACTTCAACCTGCTGCTGCTCCATCTGTCACAGTACCACCATGGGAAGGAAGATCCATCGCTACACAGAAATTACGACTTGTGGAGTTCAGCGCCTTCATGGAGTCCCAAAGAGACCCCGACACAGTAAGTCTAAATTTTATAATGGTAGATTCTATATTTACCTTGGTTCTTTTTCAAAAATTATTTTAATATGATGGGTCAGTCTGAGGCTGGGATTCCCCATTAGTTCACAGTAATGACAATTGGCATCTATAGACACCTTTGATATACATGTACCTCTGATGAATTTTGAGAGTTTTTCTATTCTTGGAGCCTGGTCCTGGGTCAGGCTCGTCTGATGTTTGCCTGGTCAGTCAGGCTATTGCTATAAAGTTGGTAGAATTACCGACAATATGTAAAGTAAAAGGACACAAGTGCAACTAATTGTGACATTTATTGTGGCAACGTTTCGCTCTCCAGGAGCTTTATCAAGCCATTAGGTAATGGCTTGATAAAGCTCCTGGAGAGCGAAACGTTGCCACAATAAATGTCACATTAGTTGCACTTGTGTCCTTTTACTTTACAGGCTATTGCTGTTGGTGGCCTGCTGCCTCACATATCCATCACAGACTGATTGATCTGGCACCTGGTGAAGATACTCGTCCAGTTTCATCTTGAAACTAGACATAATTACAATGAGTATTTTTATATTTATGCTTTTGTCTATAGTACATTATATGGTGCCCATGACTATGCCTCTGACAGATGTGACCATGGTGTATAGTGCATAAAATGCGTGATAAAGGAATAACAGGAAAAGTTGGTATATGGCTTTATAATTTCCTAACAAATAGAACACAAGAGTAGTAGTAAACAGAGTAAAGTCTACGGCGGCTACGGTGAAAAACTCTGTTCCACAAGGCACAGTACTCACTCCCATCCTGTTCCTCATCCTCATATCTGACAGACAGGGATGTAAGTCACAGCACTGTGTCTTCCTTTGCAGATGACACTTGAATTTGCATGATAGTGCCCTCCATTGAAGACACTGCAAGACTCCAGGTGGACATCAACCAAAATTTTAAATGGGCTGCAGAAAACAATATGAAGTTCAATGATGAGAAATTTCAATTACTCCGATATGGAAAACATGAGCGAATTAAAACTGTCGGAGTATAAAACAAATTCCAACCACACAGTAGAACGAAAAACTAATGTAAAAGATTTGGGAGTGATATGTCAGAGGATCTCACCTTCAAAGACCACAACATTTGCATCAATTGCATCTGCTAGAAAGATGACAGGATGGATAATGAGAACCTTCAAAACTAGGGATGCCAAGCCCATGTTGACACTCTTCAGGTTGCTTGTTCTATCTAGGCTGGAATATTAATGAACACTAACAGCACCTTTCAAGGCAGGTGAAATTGCTGACCTAGAAAATGTACAGAGAACCTTCACAGCACGCATAACTGTGATAAAACACCTCAATTACTGGGAACGCTTGAAGTTCCTCAACCTATACTCCAATATAGGAGCTTCAATAGAAACTATGTATTGTGCCAAAACAAAACCATTCACATTGCTAAACTTACGAACTGTAATGCAGTTACTTAGCCTTAACACCAATATGCTCCATAATCTGTATAGAGTTTTGAATTAATCTTAGTTTGCCTGAAATGCCTAGTCATGCTAGGTGTCATAGTGGCCCTCTCTGTAATTAGTTTTATATAATATGTAAACCACACAATATCCTATAGTATTTATATAAACCCCACATTGTAATCCTCATAAAGAATAAACTTGATAGAATGCAGGTAGGAGAGATACATGATTATGTACACTTGGAAAATCCTAGAGGGATTAGTACCAAACTTGCACACGAAAATCACTCCTATGAAAGCAAAAGACTCGGCAGATGATGCAACATACAGTGGACCCCCGGTTCGCGAAGTCATCGGTATCCGATAAATCCGGTATCCGAAGCATTATATCGCAAAAAATTTGCCTCGGTTCCCATTACAAAACCCGGTATGCGATACGATTCGTACGAGACGTGTCCATGTGTGGCCTGAACTGCCCCATGTGCACCAGTGTTTACAAGCCAGCCAGTGTGCACGCATCTAAGAATACATTAGGTACATTCCATATTATCCATATTATCACTGGTTTTGGTGCTTGTTTCTGCAAAATAATTCACCATGGGCCCCAAGAAAGCTTCTAATGCCAACCCTGTAGTAAAAAGGGTGAGAATTAGTATGGAAATTAAGAAAGATTTTGAAGGGTTTGGGGCTAACCTTGAGAAGCCTATGCCAGTTGTGGACTCCATTGTGCCTACTTCAAAAATTAAGGAAATGTGTGCTAAGTGGGTTGAACTGCAAACCTTATGGATGAAAATCCCCCAAACACAGCTATTGCAAGCCGTGCTGGTAAACAATTAAAATTTGAAAATTTAAGGGCCCCTTTTTAAGAAAAGTCATAAAGGATGAGAGGTACGGGCCTCAAATGGACAGTTATTTTTTGCGACAGAAGTCCATTTGACTTTTAACTGGTCCTATGGCTTTTAAAAGAAGAAGGGAAGAAACCCCCAAAAAAAAAGGGATTTCCCTACCTCAAGTCCAAAGGGAAAGGGGGGATTCCCCTTCTAAACTTTAAAAACTTCGAACTCTCCCCCCCCCCTCCCACCCCGTCAATCACCACCAGATTTTCTTTAAAGGGTAAATGTCAATTATTCTATTTTTGTTTTTATTTTTGTTTATTGTTACTGAAATTATTCTATTGAAATTAAAACTTAATATTTAGGGGGAAAAATTTTTTTTTTTTTTTTCATATTTTTGGGGTCTTGGCGGGATTTTTGATTTCCAAAAATTTTTTAAAGGGGAAAATTGATTCTTTTTCCCCCGAAAATTTTGTTTTAACGATGAGCCTCGGGAAACGGATAAAAAAAACGTAAACCCGGGGGGGTCCACTGTATCCCCAATAAAAAGGGGGGGTGCCATTAGCATTTAAAAGAAAAAACACAACAAGGGGTGGGGGCCCAAACTGTTCACTTTACAAAAGGGGTTTAAAAGATTGTAGATAAATTTGGTTTTCAAAAAAACCGACCCCGTTTTTAAATTAACACATGTGAAAATTTTGGGGTATCTTTATTGAGGAAACTTTTCGCCTGATGAACCACTGTGGGCAAAACTTTTCCTAAATAAAGATACCCAAGATTTGCAAATGTGTCAAATTTTAAAAAAAAGGGGGATTACTAATAGACCCCCTGGTGTTTTCCCAAGAAGGATGGAAAAGGCACCAAAATTTAAAGTCCCCTGACCAGCCCAAGGCTGTGGGTTCTTACTTTGGGGTTCTTTGGGCCCCAAGGGGTAACGGGCCGGGTTTTTTTTTTGATAGGTCCTAAAACCACCATGGGGCCTGGTCACAGACTGGGCCAAGGGGCGTTAAACCCCTAAAAACCCCTCCCAATACATTTCCGGGGGTATCAGTAATGATCTGTTTTTTACTGATGCCCAAGCTTTTTTTGTAAATGTTCTTAAAAAATATATTAAAATCTTGAAGTTAAGTTTTTTTAGTATTTATAACTACTTACTGCTGTAGTTTTTTTTTGTTTATCTTAAAAAATTTTTACTGAAAAACCCCTTGTTTTTCCCTTTTACAGGGGTACAAATACTTCAAAAATTAAAGTTTTAACTTTAATGTTTTAAATTTTTTTTTAAAGCACTGGAACATTTTTAGTTTATTCATACATTCTTTAAACAGTTTTGACTTAAATTAAAAAAATTTTTGCTACAACATTACCAACTTCCTGCTCCCCACCAAAATTATTTTTCACATTACAAAAGTTACCAAAAGGAAATTTAAAAGGAAAAATTTTCGGCACAGAAAAATTTCCCCAAAAGGGGAAAAAATCCCTACCATTAGGGGTTGATTTCCATGGTTTTAAAACCTGCCAACTCCAAATACAACCCCTTTTCCCAAAGAATAAAGGCGGTAAAAAAAACCCCCAATCTTTGGGTCTTTCATTTTCGGGATGCCCCCAAAATTAGCATGCAAATCATCCTGCAAAGGACAGGATAAACTTAAAAAAGCATAAAAAAAAGGGTTTGCCAGTGGACACTAAAAATAACATGGCATTCGTGGGGATAAATTTCCCAAATTTTAGCCTCTCCTCATTATGAAAGAAGCTTGTTCCCAAGACCATGTTGGAACGAATTCCGGGTAAGCAAAAGGGGCATACTGTAATGGGGGGGTTTTTATAAACCATCTTTGTTTTGTTTTAAAGCACCCTTTTCTCCATTAAAAACATTTTTAGCATATTTTTTAAAAGTTTTTTTAGAAATAGTGGGACTGTATATTTGGGAAAAACAAAGGTAGGGAAAAAACAACTCTAATTTCACCCTTATTTAGGAAACAACTGGTTTTAGGGAGCCCATTGAAGTCCGGGGGGGCTTCGGGTTAAAAAAAATACGTCAGTTTAAATGAGGAAAAGGGGGTGTACTGGATATGGAAAAAAGAAACTCAAAAGGAAAACTATAAACAAAACACAGAGGGGGCCCCCATTGAGAGAAAAAAAAACCTCGAAAAATTTTACTAGTAGGGATATTTTAAAGCCAGTTTTATCTGTCTTTTAAAAAAAAAATAAAGTCTCTCCTCACTTAGCCCAAAGTACCATTTTTCCAACACTCAGACTTAAAAACAGGGAATCTGGGCCCTATGCATACCTAAATAAATTTATATTAGGCTGGTAGTAGGTTGGGAGACAGCAAAACCCCCCGGGAATACTACCCTCCTGCCCGAGACTGTGAAAAAGAAAAACCCCCAATGTTTTTTTATGATGGGAGGATTGCTGGGTTTTTTTTTCAGTCTCATAAACACCTAATTAAAAGGGGTAAACTTGTTTTCTTCCCCAAATTACTTTTTGGGCACACTCAAAAAAAAACATGCACAAGCATATATATATCATACATCTGGTTTTTTTTCCCTTTTTCTAATACTTTTGTTCTTCTTTATTTTTTTCTTTTTGCCATGGGGGAAATGAAAAAGAAAACTTTTCCCCCCGTAAAACCATGGTTTTGTATGAGGCGACTAAAAAAAGCCGGGGGCCCAAAGGGGTAGTAACCCCCTTTTCCTGTGCATTTTAA